TGAGAGAGGTATAAGGGAAGACAGAATAGTTTGAGGGAGGGAACGAGCCAAAAAAACAACTCACTCTCAGGAGGTAAGGATGCATTTCATATATACATAATATTAAATTCTGAATCTGAAGTTATCACAAAAAAATGACAAATCAGGGACATACTTTTTGTCCAAGCCTACCCCCTTTCCTCCCTGAAGGGTTCAAATACAAGAGGGCAGATCAAGACAATAATGTTGAAATTAATTTAAAAAGTGAGTCTCGTGTTTTGTGGCTTGATTTATAATTTCTGAACTCTTGCTATACTGCTATAACAGAAGACGAAACTTCTGTGAGAGGGGAGATAGACCCAGCTATCACTACCTCTTTTATGACTACCTCTCTTTGTCTCACTAGGCTTAAACTTGGCCTTCTTTCAGCACCACATCCCCTATTGAATCCACCTCACATATTAAAAACAGAACAGTCGCTCATGTCTTACCTGCCCTAGCCCTTTTCTTTAAACAGTCCTTCTACCGCTGGAACTGTTTGGCTGTAAGCAGTGGTGGGAACTTAAAAAAAAGGCTAATATAGAGACCCACAAAGTGATAAATATCAGAGCACTAGTCAGTATTGATGATTTCTCTTTTGCTACTAGCTCAGTCATTGCAATATGGAGTGGTTAGAGAGCCATTTCCCAAAAGAACTAGCAAAGTTGTCACAGTTACAAATGGCTACTTCTGCTGGATGACTTGAAGATGAGGTTTATAGATTGCTCCTAAAGCCTGGGACATGCAGGAGTTGACTGGTTTCAGCACAGAAAATGACATCTGAAAGGAGAAACCTGTCATAGTCTAAAGCAAGTTACAGCAAGTAGGGGAAAGAGGAAGGTGGGATGATTTTCAGCAAGAATGATGGTCTTTTTTACACTCAACTCAGTGAAAAACTAAGTGGTATGTACAACCTTGGAAGTACAATAGATCATGTTTAGCTAAAAACCATACAATTACATCAAACTGATGTTATTAAAACAACTGAGCTATAAATATAACAGAACTTATTGGCAGAACAGGGACTCTGAGGTTCAGATAAGTGGATCATGAGTCCTTTCTTTTAGTCAGATATACAAGGTTAGATCTTTGATACAGATACTTAAATTTGATTTCTATAGGCCTGTGTGTGTATTGAAATGAGAGACAATCAAGCAAATGTATGGATTTATACTAGAATTTAGCCTATAGAATGGACACAATTAAAATGTACTTCTATTAAATCAAACAATTCAAATATGAACCCAGAATATAATAAAATGAGTAGTAATTTTAGGAAAAAGATTTTTAAAAAGAAAACAGCAAACACATGGAAAAAATAAAAATGCATACCTAATTATTCAAGAGGAAAGAAATGTTATGTGAAAAGAATGGTATTCTTGGAAATGACAGTGGAAATGTAGAGGTGGAAGCTAAACAAAGGGAACAAGTAATAAAATAAATACCTGTTGTTATTTTTGTTTCTGAGATTAGGAGGTCTATAACAGAAATCAGCTCAGCAAAGACAAGAGTTTGACCAGCATATCATTTGATTTTAGTAGTAAAAGGCTAGAAAGTCTCCATGTTGCCAAGGTGTCAAGACTTGTGCACACTGTGCATCCAAGAGGAATAACAGGAGTAGGGGACAAAAACTGAAGAAGCATTAGCTGACATTTTCAAAACCTGACTTACTGCAGATGCATCTCCAAAGACTGGGAAACAGCAATGTAAGGGAGCGGTGACACACCAGGAAATTAGAGGCCAGGCAGTTCACTTCCAGTTGTAGAGAAAACATTTGAAGCTGCTTTAGAAGATCAAAAGGTGTAACATTTACTGTATTCAAAGCACAGCCTGGTTAAGAGTAGCCAACTCTGTTTCAGGTAAGGCGTATCGTGCCTCACTGACTTGCTGGAATTCTCAGAGGATTGTTCGGTCGGATAAGATGTAAGTGCAGTGAAGTGGACATCGCTTTTTGTAAAAATATGCCTTCTCTCAATTTCTACATTGAAAGATAATGTGTAAGGTGAGAAACCACTGATTATTAGTAGAAAATCTGCCTGATTGGATTCTCTAGTAAGCAACTTTTGATCCTCTGCATCATAGTGTACACATAAGACAGAGATGAGCAAATATGGCCTGTGGGCTGGATCTGGCCTGCCAGTTGATTGTGTCCCACCTATAGCTGCCTCTGTGGAACTGTGTATGGGGCCAAGCACTGCTCACTCCTGCCTGGAGCGGCCTGTACCTACCCCATGGCCCGTACCTACCCTATGGCCAGTGCACAGCTTCCCAGTGGGGCTACTTTCCATCCACTCAGTTGCCTGCAGGTGGTTGGTCAGCACACTGAGAGGGCAGAGTGGGTGGACAGTGGCCAGGAGCTGGGGCAGGAGCCACCCAGCTATAGCTTCCCCCCTGCTTGGCTGAGCATGTGGTGTCTGGCATGTGCTCCCATGCCTGCCACCACTTCCCCATGCTACCTGCTGTCTGGAGTGGCATAGCAGGGGCAGGAGGAGGAGGAGGAGCCACTGGAGGTGGGGGGAGTTGAGCAGTACCTGGACAACTGCAGCAGCTCTAGGAGCAGCCCCGCTGGGAAGCTGTATGTGTTGGCCAGGTCTTAGGCTGGAGCAGTGCTCTTGGAGGGTGAGAGCCAGGTGCAGGTGGGAGTGCAGCACAGGCTGCCCCAGGCAGAAGCAGGTGGAGCTTGGCCCCCATATGGAGTGCTGAAGGGGCAGCTGCGGGCCAGATGGTGGGATGGCAGACTGCACCTGCACTACACTACCTGCTGTATGCGGCCCCTGTCCTCCTCTCTTCCTAGTGGGAGCCTGGGACCTAGCATCCGGGCAGCCCCCCAACGCCTCTCACCCCCCACAACACACCCCACCTTCCCACACAATACATAAGAGTAAGACTTTATTTTGAACTATTATGCAATCATCTCTATGTATACTACTAAAAAACCCCATAAACAAAATTAAAGTATACTACAGTAGATGTTTGATTTTTAGTATATGATTTGATTTTTTTTAATCTATAATTGGGCTCCACAATTCAAAAAGGATGTGGAGAAGCTTGAGAGAGTCCAGAGAAGAGCCACGCGCACAATCAGAGGTCAGGAAAACAGACCTTACGACGACAGGCTGAGAGCCATGGGGCTCTTTAGCCTGGAAAAGCGCAGGCTCAGGGGTGATCTGATGGCCACCTATAAGTTTATCGGGGTGACCACCAGGATCTGGGGGAACGTTTGTTCACCAGAGCGCCCCAAGGGATGACGAGGTCGAACGGTTATAAACTACTGCAAGACCGTTTCAGGCTGGACATAAGGAAGAATTTCTTTACTGTCCGAGCCCCCAAGGTCTGGAACAGCCTGCCATCGGAGGTGGTTCAAGCACCTACATTGAACACCTTCAAGAGCAAATTGGATGCTTATCTTGCTGGGATCCTATGACCCCAGCTGACTTCCTGCCCTTCGGATGGGGGGCTGGACTTGATGATCTTCCGAGGTCCCTTCCAGCCCTAATGTCTATAAAATCTATAAAATCTATGACATTTGTTTAAAATTATATCTTTTGAAGGATTTTATATGCATGGCCCTCTATAGCTCACCAAAACTCATTCAGTGTCCTACCAGCCAATATAATTATACAACCTTAGCATAAGAGGTATAGTCAGGTGCCCAATGAATCTGCTTGTATGCAGTTTTGTGATCTTCACACCAAGACCTCCGACACATTTCACTAGGCAAGAGTATGGAGGAGTGGAGACTGCCCAAGATCTCCCATCCCTGCTTTAGATCACAGAGACAGAATTCAAAGGCCAGGCTGAGCCTGGACATTTAGTGTCTCAACGGCTGTACCTTCTGCCAGAGAGCAATAGATAAGAACTGCTGCTGACTGCATAATACCTCAGTTAGTGTGTGTTTCTGTCAAGGTGATGTCCCTTAGCTTTCCTCCAGCCAAGGAGTACCCACAAGGCAGTGGAGGCTAGGGTTTTGAGGTGCCCTATACTCACCTTATTCTGGAGGTTGCAACATTGGGGTATTTTATAGGAGCAACCCTGCCATGAGTAGCTCAACCATGTTGCCACCAGGTCCTGCAGTTCAATGCAATTTAAGGTCATACCCAGGACCACCTGATTGGATTACAAGATGTCTAAACATGGAACTTTCTCAGGCTACAGCAATGGAATGGGGATGTCACAGCATCAGCTATGCATTTGTTTTTTATACTCGACACAGGATTCCTTTACAAATGTAAAAGTGCATAGAGTTTATAAATCATGAGGTGGGAAGGATACTAAGCAATCAAAGAATATGTCCCAGAGGCCTCCTCTAATAGTGTGCATGGAAAAGCATGGGGCCAGGATCTATACTGTTACTAGATATCTGAGTCTGGGGGGTGAGTCCAAAGGGGGTACACTGCTGCAGCTGCACCCCTCTTTCAGTCAATGATACTGTGCATGCAACATCCAGGGGCTTCTTTTAAATCCCAGATTCAGGTAAGAATCCCACTCCCACTTCCCCTCCATGCCCAGTGGCACTTTCCTTTCCCTTCCCTCCCCTCTCTCCTACCCACAGCTGCCACTGGCTCCATGTGCTCTGGGGGTGGAGTGGAGGGAGACTCCAGAGCAGCTCCTACCTGCTCCAGCTGAGCTCCACAAGGAGGTAGGATCTGTTAAGTGCAGAGGCAGTGGCAGTGGCAGGAGAGTTTCTCCTCCCTGCCAGCCTGGGAGCAGGTGCCAGGGAAAGAAACCTGCCTGCTGATGCTGCTGCCACCAGGCCTGGCTCCTGTGCAGCTCAGCAACTGATGAGACCTTGCTGTGCAATAAGTATTAGTAAAAAGCTTAAATAAAATGTGTATGCTCATAAAATGTATTAAAGCTGTTGGTAACACACATTTGCACCCTAATCTCCCAATGTGATTCATGTAGGTAGGCCCACATGAATATTCAAACCAGACTACTTCATATATTTTAAGACAATGTATGGGACAAAAGGAGAAACTTACCTGTTCAAGTCACGATGTATAATTGGTTGTGTAAGATTATGAAGATACTCCATACCTTTGGCAATATCTACAGCAATGATTAATTTAGACTGCAAGTCAAGATTCCTAGGTTTAAAACAGATCATAATGCAGGTCAAAATGGAGAGAGATAAGGTAAATTTAATAAAAACCACATCATAAGGAACATATCATTCTATGAACTACGAAACAATTTGGGAGTTATGTCACCTACAGATCTGAGCTTCCTTTTTATTTGGGTTAATGTAATTTAAATAAAAAAACTCCCCAAGTAATAACAACAACTGCTAGTTTTGTGTTTAATTGTTATTTTTCCTTGTATAACAAATAATGTGGCTTAAAACAATCATTTGATCATGTACATTAATTTCAATACTTCTTATACTGAACTGGATAATGAATATTTGCATTAACAGAGTACCAATAACCTTGAGAATTATTTGTCACAGAGAGTTAAGAGAATACCTCTTCTGTTCGTGTAGTAGGGAAAAAAGTGATCCTCCAGAAATATATTGTGTAACTATAGCAAATTGACTTGGGTCATCTAAGCAAGCACCAACAAACTGGATGACACAAGGATGATTGAGTCGGCAGAGAATAGAAACTTCACGGCAAAACATGTCTACATCTGATTTGGAACAGTAGGTATTGGCTCGGTAGCTGATAATTGACAGGAGGAGAAATAAGTCAGTCAGAAGTAGCATAAAAATGATATGATATGATATGAATTTGTTGTACTTCAAAATAAGGTGCTAACATTAAATTGTAAAGTCTCTGGCAACTTACCGTTTGATTGCTACTATTTTATTTCTGCATCGCCCTTTATAGACTTTTCCAAACGACCCTAAAATGATTTAAAATAAATAAGCACAAAGATATTTTTTGTGAGCATCAAACATTTAAAATGAACACATTTACTTTCCAGTACCTGAGCCAATAATCTCATGGAACTCTATTTCAGAGAGCTGAAGATGGAAATGGGATGGTAAACCTGCACGGAGGAGAAGAACATCTGCCTTTTCTGCAAAAGAAAATTGTTATCCTATTTGTAAAATGCAGGAAAAGAAATAAAAGCACTTAACTTGACAAAAGACATTACACAGTAAGAAATGATTTTCCTACTGTAAATTGGTTGACTGGTAATCCTATTCCTCTTTGTTTAGTACCTGCCATAAAACTCAATAATAAACAAAGATTTGCAACATTACAGCTGCCTGAGGGTTTCTTGCCTTTAAAACCTTATCACTGATGAACACTGTCCCATAACCATATTTTGCATGGACCATGTGATGTTTTCAGAAAATATTTTATGTAAGGAATTAAATCCATATTCTGTATATCCAGCACTCACTACCAATGTTATGGACTTTATTCTGGATCTAATCCTCTTCTCAGTAGCATTTGGAATCTGAACTCTGATGTCCCACTAAATTCACACATCTTGCTGCTGAGCGATGTGTGTTCAAGTGAAAGTTATCCGCCTGTTTCTAAATAGAACGCTCAGACGTACATAATGACTGTATGGGAAGGTAGCTCTTGGCTACTCCACAGCTAACCTTTCAAGTAGAAAATCAAAAAGGTCTCAAAAGATGAAATATTTTAAGTACACAGATGCAGCAGAATTATTTTTCCACATTTATTTCAATGCCACAGAATTGATTGTTTTCTGGCTTTTTCCCTACCGTGATCCCACATTACAATTTTAAGAAGTCTGAGGT